GATCGGAGTGTGACTTAAGATCTCCCTGGATTCCCAGGCATGTGTCCCTCTGAAAGTGTGGTATTATTCGAGAGAAGGCTTTTATTCTTACCTCCCCCTCGCCAGGCTCTTAGGTACTTGGTAACCGTGTGTGAGGAAGTGGCAGAGGGGTGTTTGGAATTTAAGTGTGTCTGGAAGCTGCAAGAAGACAACGAAGACAACGAAGACAACGGTGACAAGAGGCAGCTGGGGAGGTATGGGCGGGGTAGGGCTGGGGCCCAGAGGCTTGGTCATAAAAGGGACCAGGCCTCTCCCCAAACTGGAAAGCCCCCCGACAGGAGGAAGACTGGTGAAAGGAGCCGGGTTTGGGGGGTGGGTAGCCTGCCAGGAACAGGAACAGGGATGGGAGGTTGGCGTTTGGGTGGCGAAGGATGATGAGGGAGATGTCCCCCATCCCCGGAAGATGCCAGGGCTAACCTGGGGGTTGCTTCCAGAGTGTTCTCCCACAAAGTAGAGGCTGGGGGAGCCCGGAGCCGGACACACTGCTCTTACCTGTGAAGGCTGCCTGCCCAGGGCTCGAGTCCGAGAGTGTAGATGGTCCCGCTGGAGGTTGGGGGTGAGGAAGGAGACCCCAGGTTTTCAGAAAGGAAGCCTCTGCCTCGTGTCCTCTTCGAGCCCTTGGTCTATGAACCTCAGCTCCAATGTTTAACAGAATCACCTGGGCCAGTCCTAAAAAATACAGATTCCTGGCCCAGAGAGTCTTTCTGGGTAGACTTGCGTAGGACCTAGAAATCTGCGTTTTAACGTGCATGCTCCAGGCATTCTGGGGCAGGTGGCGGGCGGACCCTGTTATGAAAGTCCGTGCTCAGGGGCCCTCTCGCAAACTTGAATGTGCACGTGGATCCCCTGCGGGTTCTGTTAACTGCAGGTTCTGCTTCCGCCTGTCTGGAGTGGAGCCCCAATTCTGCATTTCTCACAAGCTCCCAGGCGACACTGGTGGTGCTGGTCCCGGGAGCACTGTGAGGAGCACTGTTCCCAGCAGGTTCCTGGGATCTGGTTGGGAAAGAACCCCCCAGGCCTACGAAATCTGAACCTCTGGGGGTGAGCCTCAGCCGTGTGTGTTTTAGCCACACCCCCCGCTGAGGTTCGAGGAGCCCTGCTAGGAGCGGGAGGCTTAAGGAAAGGGGCTGGAGGAGCAGCTGGTGTGAGCCATCTGTTCCCAGCTTCCCTGTCCTCCAGAAAGAGCCGAGACCCCTATGAATTCAGATGGAAGGAACGTTCTTCCTCGTGGGGTTGGGCATGCACACTTCCCTCTGGATCAAAATGGGGAGTTTCCCTAGTGGGTTGATGTCCCCACAGGTGGTATGACAGGTGGGCAGGACCCACAGGGAGTGGCAGTAAGGCCAGAGGCGCCGACAGCCACCAGTTGGGCTGGGAGCTGGTCCTAGGAGCAGTCAGGGCAGGAAGGACCCGGTGGCTGTGGCAGCCGGGGCAGGGTGAGTGGGAGCCCGAGCAGCCTGTGGCATGTCTGGAGCCCGTGGGAGAGGTGGTGCAGCTTGGTCAGCTGGGGCCTCCAGGCTGAGCTGTGAACTAGTCTGTGCACACGCTGGGGAGCCAGGAGCAGTAGGCAGCAGGGGTATGGGTTTGCTCCCCACCTTCTCTCCCTGTGCCTCTGTTGCAGAGAAGTGAGTCCATGTGGGTGGGCAGGAAGGCCGCAGAGACTCCCCTGGTTTGCATAAGATGTGCTCAGGGATGGCGGGGGAAGGAGAGGGTGGGCGGCCCATGGGCTGGAAACCACGCCCCTTGGCTCCCGGGCCCCCTCTGTGCCCTCGCTGACCACCCGCCTCCCCAGTGAAGGCAAGTACTTCTGTCCTCACATGCTGGGACCCAAGCACGGAAGTCCTTTCCTTGCTGTCTCCCTCTGATTCTCCTTGAGCTCTTGGCGTTCAGAACAGGCCCACAGGGACATGATCGTGGACTGGAGTCCCTGGAGGCTGGGCCCGGTCCCCAGGAGCAGCCATGCGGTTCTGGCCCTGACCCTGACGCAGGATGGGCACCAGGGTTTGCTGCTGGCTGTGCGGGGTTCAGAGCCAGGCCCAGGGTTCTTGGGGACACGCCTCAGCACGCATCCGACTGGTTTCTGGTGGCTTTTCAAGTTACATTTCTAGACCAGGTGACCCTGTGCTGGGCACTTGGGTACCACAGTCATCCGCTCACCCCTTAGAATATTGGGTGGACATCGGGGCACATTCCAGGAGGTCAAAAGCTTCAGCTGGCTAGCACCATTAATCGGGCAATACTCAGGTCAGCCAAACCATGCCTAGCTGTCGGGAGTCCCAGCTACTCCAGCCAGCTGAGGCCGGCGCGCCAGGCCCCAGCACGAGGGATCAGAGCCCTGGAGGGAGGCCACGCTGCTCCCTCCTCCCAGCCCCCAGCCTGCTTGAGCTCTTGCCCGGCTGCCCTCGAGGAGCCCTTCGCCCAGAGTTACTGCAGAGAAAGCAGCCTCCCTTGAGCAAAGGGTCTCAGAAGGGTCCTGCCAACACTTGGGGTGGTTTTCTCTTTGCCTTCCAGGTCAGCGAAAGTCCAGGTTCCCAGGCACGCGAACCTTTCCCTCCTTCCCGCGGCCCCACCCCTGAAGTGAACTGGGGGTGCAGGTCCCACCTGGGGACTAGTGACACAGGTGCTTCCTCCTGCTCATCCCAGGAGGCCTCCTGTTTTGGGGGAATCAAATGAAAGGACATTATCCTTCCTTTTCCCACCCACCGGCCCCAAAGCAGATGGACACAAGATGTCCTTGCCCGGTGTCCTTGAAAACAGGCAGGGCTGGGCTTTCTCGGTGGGAGAGGCAGGTGTGGTTTCTGTCCCTGCTGGGGGAAGCTGGGAGCTTAGTTTAAGCAGGGGTAGGGTTGCGGTTCAGAGGAGCCTGAGTGGAGAATCCGGGAACCCGAATCGGTCCTGGGTAAGAGTGACAAGGGACCCACCCGAGGTTGGGGTCAGCTGGCATGTGATTGTTGGTGACTGTGATGGCCCCGTTCATCACAGCGCGCCTCCCGTTCCGACACTGCCCTGCCGCTGAGAGCAGCCTCCTGCCGGGGAGGAGCTGGGTCCCCCCAGCAGCCTTGCCAGTAGGCCATCAGGGCTGCTGTTTACAGATGAGGGAGGGAAGGCCCCGTGTGGTCAGCTGCCTCGCTCAGCACCGCGCAGTAGCCATTATGTAACCGCCAGACCTTACCTAACACTTGCAGATCCTGGGCTGGTATTTTTAGCCCCATGTGGTCACAGTTGAAAAGCTTGTTGTCTGAGTCCCCGGAGAATGGGTCTCACGGCTGCCACTCCCTGTGGCCACACTCAGCCGTGGGACCTTCCCTGTGGCTTCCGTGTGCGGTCCCAGGATGTCTGGCCCCAGGCACGCTTACACCGGCAGCTCAGCCGTCTGCCTGGGACGTGCGGAGGGGGCGGGAGCAGGTGCACAGAGGTGGGGCGGGCCCGCTCTTCACCATCTTCCTCTCCCCCTGTCTCCCGGGTCCCATTCTTCTGCTCCGTCACATCTCCCTGTGTGCAGGCTGGGAGAGCACCCCGGCGTCCCGCAGTGAAGACAAAGGGGCGGCATCACTGTGCCCCGCTCCCCGAGTCCTCAGGCTAGCAGTCAGCACAGATCTCTGTGAGCTAATGCCAGGAATGAAGGTCTACACCAGCGAACGGGAAGACGTGTAAATGCAGTTAAACCACTTCTAACACGAGTAAAATCACATCCAAAACACGTTTGTGGATTCAGGACCTAAGCAGAGAGGTGTGTGTGGGGGAGAGAGGACGGCCCTCCAAGACCGTGGGCATGAGTGCAAGGACAGAAACCTGCCAGAAAGTTCTTGCCCTGGCTGCGGGAAGGGGTGCCGGGACCCAGACCAGCAGGGGTGGTGCTGGGGAAAGCGGAAAACAACCACAAGTCCATGTGAAGGAGAAATGGCAAGATTTGGAAGCAGAGCGGAGAGGGGACGGGCACCACGGAGGAGCCAGAGCTGGCGGGATTGCAGGGGTGGGAGGAACGGGGGTGGTTGGGGAGTATCCAGGTGGAAATGTCCACCAGGACGAGGGCCTGGGCAGGGGATCAGACCAGGAGGAGTGACAGAAGAAGCTGGGGCATGGATGAAATGGGTGAGGTCTTCCCAGCCAGTGTGTGCGCTCGGCTCAGTGCTCCACATGCTGGGTCCCCGCAGCAGCGGGCAGTGACCTCACATTGGAGATGAGCCTGGAAGGCTGGCTGGAAAGGTTTTTCAAGGAGTGAGGAGGCATTCATGTTGCATATGGGCTCCTATGTTAGGGGGAAGAGGGTGCATGTCCCTCTAGGGGTGAATTTATTGGCCTGGGGACCAGGTTTCTCCTTTACAGTCGCTGTGATCTCCATTACAACTTTGATTTCTATTAAACACCCTGGGGAGTTCATGACTTGAAGCTCTTTTCACCATTTACCCTCATGTGGCTGCGTGCGGGCTGGCGAGATCAGTCTTCCTGCTGGTCCCCGAGCGTCGGCCCCTTCCTGGTCTGGGGTGGCCTCTCTCTCTCCTCCATCATCACTGCCATCTCTCTCGTGGGCTCCCAGTTCACCCACATCCAGCAAAATGCTCTTTCTCGATGCTGTCCCAGTCTGCCTCCATCTGAAACAAATACATGTGTTTGCTGTAGGAGTGTAAGTTTGTAGAGGGGGGTACGTAGGGACCGGGAAGCCAGGAGCAGGGGTGTTACAGAACCGTGGAAACCCTCTGGGGGTGTCTCCTCCCGCCCTCTGTGACCATGCAGGGGTGACCCCAGAAGCAAGTGCCCCGTTCTGGTAAGTAGGGTGCTGAGAGCCTACGTCCCTTGGACTTGGGTAGGAAGCATGACTTTGGGACCCCAAGGAGGAGAACAGAGCAGAGCTGGGCCATGGTGTCAGGGCAGCCTCGGGGTCGAAGCACGGTGGCAGCCTGTGGGGCAGGAGTGACTCTCCCTCCCGCTGATGCAGGCCTGTGTCTCTGCTCCCCCTGCAGCTGGTGCTTCCGGAATATTCCATCCACAGCCTCTTCTGCATCATGTTCCTGTGTGCTCAGGAGTGGCTCACCCTGGGGCTGAACATCCCTCTACTTTTCTATCACTTCTGGCGGTGAGTCTGCTCGGGACTGCTCTGGGCTTCTTCCCTTCTGCGTGGGCAGCCGGCCCTGCAGAGACAGTGTCGTCCAAACAGACCAGCTGCCCCAAGCCTCTCCTCCCTCCCTCCCCTGTCTTTCGGAGACCCGATCTTCCAGCAACTCCTGGGTGGCGGCCCTGTCCCTCAAGGGACTGGTGTTAAGATTCACAATCTTATGATTTTGCATGATTCACAATCGTCCACAAACGGAAACCATCCAGACGGTTGTCAACAGGGGAATGGATAAACAAAATGCGGTATGTCCTTGCAAGGACGTGTGATTTGGTGATAAAAGGTAATCACGTACCAACACATGCCGTAACATGGGTGACAAGGGAAAGAAGCCGGTCCCAAGAGGCCATTTATGGGAAAGGTCCAGAATGGGCAACTCCAAAGAGAAGGGAAGTAGATGGGTGGTTGCCAGGGGCTGGAAGGGAAGGGATGGGGACAGCTAAGGGGTACGGGGTCTTCTTCGGGTGTGACCAGGTTCTGAAGTAGATACTACTGAGAGCCAGAAAATTCTGTGAACATGCCAACAATCACTGGATTGTATACTTTTAAAAGGTGAACTTTCTGGTATGTGAATTGTATCTTTTTTTTTTTTTTAAGATTTTTTTATCCTAGACAGCGAGAGAGTAGGGGCAGAGGGAGAATTCCAACCAGGCTCCACCCCCAGCATGGAGCCTGACCTGGGGCTCAATCTCGTGACCCTGAGATCACGACCTGAGCTGAAACCAAGAGTCGGATGCTTAACCGATGAGGCCCCCCAGGAGCCCCCGAATTATATCTTAATAAAAAAATCACCTACCAGATGGGCTGGATTTTCTGGGACACTTCTGATTTTAAATATTCTATTCTCTGTCAAGACTACGCATCAGATCATGTGATCCGGGCTTTCTGTAAAATCTGGTCACCATCTGGACTTAGGACGTAGGAAGGGGGGACTGGAGTACAGAAGGCAGCTGTGCAGGTGAACGAACCACCCTTTTCCCCTTGCTCCCAGAGCTTCCATCCCACCAACATCTCATCACTCATTTTACCATAAAATGTAGCCTGTGTTTGTCACGTCTGGGGCGCGCACTCCTTCATCTAGCAGACACGGGAGGCATGCCCCATACTGGGCACTGGAGGGGACTGCCATGTGGATGTGAGACAGAAGCTTTATCCTCGAGGAGTGTGTACTCCAGTGCCACAAGGAAGCAGAGTCTTAGCAGACGTGAGGAACACACTTAGGCACGCAGGGAAGCAAACATGTGAGTTAGACTGGTACGGGGACGGTGCCAAGTCAGCAGGTTGGGGGGCTAGCGTGGGCACAGGCTCGGAGGTAAGACAGCACTCAGTGTGTTGGGGAAGGGCCCTGGTTCAGCGCGGCCGCCTGCAGGGTCCTGGGGGAGACGTGAATGGGCGTGAATCGATGTAGGCTTGACAGACAACAGAGGGTCCGGAACTCTCCGCTGGGGAAGTTGGGATCAACGTATTCTGTAGGAAGTGGAAACTCTCAGCAGCTTTTGGGGGGAGAAAGTGGCATTGCCTGATCTGAGTTTTAGGAAAGCAACCGGTGGCAGCTGTGCAGATGGGTAGGACGGTGAACTTGTGAATCTGGAATTAGGAGGTCACCATGGACTCGCAGGGGAAGAGAGAACGGAACTTGACTCCCAGTGTGACTAAGCAGTGGATGTTGGAAGAGACAGAGAGGGTCCATGGAGGTGAACTTGGCCTGTGAGCAGGTGCAGGGGGTGGGGCAGAGGCAGCCTTGAAGGAGGGGATGGCGCCACTGACCGGGGGCAGAAGAAAGCACAGGTTAGGAAGAAAAGAAAATGACTCTCTTACACAAGAAAGTCCTGCTGTTGTTGTCATTTTTTATAAAGATTTAATTTATTTATTTGATCTATAGAGAGAGTAAGCAAGAGAGAGAGAGACAGAGAGAGGACACAAGCAGGGGGAGTGGGGGCAGAGGGAAAGGGAGACTCCCCGCTGAGCAGGGAGCCCACACAGGACTCAACCCCAGGACCCTGAGATCATGACCTGAGCTGAAGGGAGGACACTTCACTGACTGAGTCCCGCAGGCACCCACGAGAGAGTCCTGTTTTGAGTGAGCGTAACCCCCTGAGGTCTGAGCTTGGAGAGCAGTCAGGTGGGAACATGGTGTTGGAATGTATTTCCTGCCGGCTCTGGGACTGTGTGGGCTCAGCTCACCCAGTATCCTCACAATCCGGTGAGCACAATCCGGTGAGCCGCAGTCCCTTCTCTGTTTCATCCATGGGTGGGGGGTGGGGACCGGCAGCTCACAAGGTTAAAGCACCCCCAGGGTTGCTGAGTCAGGACAGGGAAGGGCCCGGTTCAGCCCCACCTCTGTATGGATCAGTCGTCCTGTTGCCCCGGGTATCAAAGACATGGTGGCTTTATGAGACTCTGACTGGTGCCCGGCTTCTCGGGGCCATTGGCAGGGAGGCGTGGGCAGGGTGAGGGGAGAGAGGGAGGAGGGAGGTGGGAGTGGCTATGGTCTCTTCATACCCAGGGTGGGGACTGCCCTTGTCTGACCATCTAGCCTACTTCCAGAAATTCCTAAGTGCTCAGGAAACGAAAAGGCATGAGGAGCAGAGGGTCCTTTGGAAATCAGAGTCCTTGAACATGGACTTCCTTGGGTTTCTGCTCCTGTTTCCCCCCAGGCCCAGGCCAGGACGCTGTCCTGCTGATCCAGCTCTTTCTTAGGTGCTGGTGGAAAGCAGCGGGGCACATCCATCTGGTCCCATATCTCACCCTACACCCAGTCGTCTCAATGCATTTTTGCCCCCATTTTACAGATGACAAAGCTGAGGCTTGGAGGGGTCAGTGGTAGGCTGGAGGAAGGTCGGTCTGGTGGCCGGTGACCCACAGAGCCCTGACTCTCTCCACTGAGCTGCTTGGCCGCCTGGCCCCCTGGGCCCCATGGAACGAGGTCTCACCAAAGGCCCCTTGTTTGCAACCTGCCCCTGGAGAGGCAAGGAATGAGGCCTGCCAGCTGGCAGGCATCACTGAACCCAGCTTTTGCTGTCCTCCTGGCACCCTGTGGTGACCGACATTGTCGCTGTCCTTTGGGGTGTGAGGATGGGCTGGAACACCAGGGCCCAGGTTCCTAGCGACAGGGCGCTCTTCTGAGCTCAGGGGTCCTCTGCTCAGGGCCTCTCTCTGGCCCGGCATCCAGCCTCCTTCACTTAGTGACAGACCACAGCCCGCTGAGGCCCTGCCAGGGGCCAGAGGTCAGCCCTGGGGTAGCCCTCGTGTCCCGCCCAGCCTCACCACCAGAGTCTGACCTCTGTTGGGTGTTTCCATGGAGATATATATAGCTTGCTTCAGCCTCCCTCTGTCCTACGCCCTGTGCTCTCACTTCACTGGGTCCCTCTGCTGCTCTCTCCCCGCCGAGGCCAATGTGCTTTGGCTGTTCTGGGTCCTTCTACCAAGAAGAAAAATGTCTGAACTCCACCACACTCCCATGGGAATGTGACATCCCTTCCCTAGCATTCTGGATTTGAAAAGCGGAGCTGTGTGGAGAACAGCATGAGACCCAGGGTAGAACATGGTCAGTGGCAATGCCACCCCTCGTGTCACCATCCCTCTTCTGGGCTGACACCCACAGGGGCCCACAGGAGCAAGGAGGCCCTTCTCGGTGCCTCCAGGTGACTCAGTTTCCTTCCAGCGGGTAGCTCTGTCTTCGGGCGCAGTCCCCCCCGGTACCGGAGGGTCTCCGTATCTGGAGTGGCTCTCAGGGCCAGGCAGCAAAGAGGGCGGAGGTCCCTCGGATGTCCTTTCCGAGCCCCAGAGCCAAGGATGCTGTGTTCTCTGTCCTTGCAGGTACTTCCACTGTCCGGCTGACAGCTCAGAGCTTGCCTATGACCCACCGGCGGTCATGAATGCGGACACCTTGAGCTACTGTCAGAAGGAGGCCTGGTGTAAATTGGCATTCTATCTGCTGTCCTTCTTCTACTACCTTTATTGGTGAGTCTCTGTCCCTCTGGGCCTCTGGGTCCTGCAGGCGCTTTGCACCTCCTGCTCTTGGCGGGCGTGGGGGGTGGCGGCTGTGAGGGTGGGTGTTGCAGCCATGTGGGTCTGAGGCCAGCCATCTGACTCGGTTGGGAGCCTGGGCTTGTGCACAGAGGCAAGGGGGGTGGGGTGGGGTGGAGGGCTCTACAGGAGGCCTGGCTCCTGGCAGGCACCTCAATAGAACCTCACAGAGAAATGCACTGTCCTTACCCTCTGGGTAGGCGGTTGGTGACATGCAACTAGTCACTCCTTCCCCATGGAGCTCCCTCCCCAGCTCAGCCCCTTGGCTCCCTTGCAGCCCCTAGTCTGCGTGGGAGCTTCTGGGGAACAGAACAGAGACCCTGAGGGGTGGTCGTGTGTCTCGAAGGGGCACACGAGGTCCTCATGTGCTCACACTCACGTTCTCCCGATGTTACACGGCACCATGCTAATGAGGAAACTGTGCTGACTTTGTGATTGTTTGGCGCCCCGCTCCCTGCCCCGCCCGTCGGCACCTCTGCACAGAGTGGCCCAGGGAAGCAGATGGCTGTAAGCAGCCTGCCTATGGCCGGGCGCCCAGAGTGCCTTTTCTTAAACTGTCTCCCTCCTGTTCCTCTTGGGGGCCCCCTCCTGGGCGCTGTTGATCCCCAGGCGAGGAAGAGGAGGATGGGGTAGAGGATGGGGTGTTAGCAAGGCCCCCCCGGCTTGGGGCGGGCTGAGGGGGGTGCTGCATTTATCCACATTTAAAAATGAGCCGTGCTTTGAGCCAAGAGCTCAGCCTGGGGCTCAACACCTTCATTGCCCAGACAGTAACAATCAGGAGATGGAATCCCAGATGTCCGATGTTTTCCCATGTTGCAGCTAATAGTGCATCTTAAGTCTGATCCCAAATGTGGGATCTGTACTGCTGACTGACACAGGAAAGATCTAGAAAAGTCTCATCAAGTGGGGTCTTTGGGCTTTCTGTATCAGAAGCCAGAGGGAGGTGGGTTTGTTTCTGAAAACTGTGGATTCCTAGGCTTGGATCTGCTGACTCAGGATTTCGGGGCTGGGCATCCACCCTGGGGCATGAGGTGGCGGCGGGCGTGTGTGTGTGTGTGTGTGTGTGTGTGTGTGTGTTGGGGGGGAGGGTGGCTCCTGTCCTTTGGCTGAGTGTGACCATCCTATAAACATCGTGTCCCAGACATTCCATTCGGCCGTCTGTCCTTTTGTTCAGTCTGGCTCTGCCTTTGTGTTGCATTTACTAATTACTTCGTTGCTAAACATAATTGGAACTGCTCCTCCTGCCTCGCAGGGACTTTGGGTGGTGGCCAGGACTCCCCCTTCTTTGTTGAACCTGGCGTCTTGGGGCTCTACAGAGCTCCTCCAAGGCCGTGTATCTGCAGCTCCTGAACTCCCAGCCCCTTAGAGCCAGGGCTTGTGGGCATACGGAATTGTCAGCCCCGGCTACTCTCATGGGGGGCAGGGAGGGTGACCCACGCACGTGGACAGCTGTATCCAGGCTGAGCACAGTGACGGACTGAAGTGACAGCTGCTGGGACCCTGGGGTTGGCATTTCATAGGCCCTCCCAGTGATTAAGAAATGTGTCCAGGGCCCAGGCTGAGACGCGTTTGTCTGGTCCCAGAGTCCAGGCTCTTCTCCATGTCCTGTGCTAACCACCCCAGCAGGTGCCCCGTGGACCAGGAGATGCGCACAGGTTCCTGGAATTGATCCTAGCTAACACGAACGCGAACACTAGCAGCTTAGTCCAGTGTGGGTGACCTGCCCGCTCTAGATAACCATCTGTCAAACCAGGAGGGGGAAGTAGCACCAGTCCCCTGCCCATTCCTCCAGGTTACAGCTGCCTCCTCCTTCAGGTTTTCTCCTCTCCCTGTATGAGCATCTTCTCGCCGGCCGGCCTGGTGGCAGACACCCTGCAGGTCTCGTTCGCCATGTGTCTGCAGTGCCCTGGCCGGAGCATGGTGCACACTGGGAGCCCACGAGCTCCTCGTTATCATGGAAGCTTGGCTCTGTGCTCCCTCCAGGCAGGTGTCAGGCTGCACGCTCAGCACTGTCTCTCAGCACCGAGAACAGGGCCTGGCATACAGGAGGTGCTCAATAAATGCTGAATGAGTGACTGAAAGTCTGAGAGTAGAGCGGGTAAAGGACACCCGTGACCTCACTCGGTGTCATTGTGGAGAGAGCACTGGCTTTGGCCATGGGACGTGGCTCCTTGCCTTGCCCTCCCTGGCTCTGTGACCTTGAATGATCCGCTTTTCATGCAACCTCCCCCCCCAACCCCGAGTGCAGGGAGACCCTCCAACTCCTGTCCGGCCAGTCATGCTCCGTGGACACAGGTGTTATTAGGTTCTCAGAGATGGTACTTGACCTGCTCAGAGAAGCTCACAGGGCCTCGGAAGCCGGATAGGGTTAGACATAAAACAGTAACTTCCCTTGGTTTCCTTTCTCAGATGATCCTTCTTCCTCTCTCTTATGTGAACAGGTAATTGTTTTCTTGGTGCCAGGAGGGCAAAGTGGTATATTTTGTCATGGAATGTTCCTCGATGTTGCAGAATTAGCCCGCAGCCCTTGCTAAAAGCATAGGGTTGCGTCACTCCTTCCCTGGTAGAGTCGGGGCACAATCTTAGGACACACGCTCTTAATGCATGCTCAGTGCCTGGATTTGGTTAAAAACCAGAGTTTTCAACACGTAGGGAGTGACCCAATTCAGAATCCATGTCGTTTTTGTGCCCAGAGGGCCTGCATTCACATCGGTCCTCGGAGCAGGGGTGACAGGCATCTTCCCAGCAGTGGGGTATCATGCGGCATCACAGAAGCATACATGGCAGGTGGCAGGAAGAGAACCCCTCGCGCCCCACCCCGGGGACCTGTTGTACAGTTGCAGGAAGGAGGAACAGCCGCCAGATTGTCCACGCGGGTGAGGGTAACACCCTGCACTTACAGCAATCACATCTACTACCCGAGGGACTCGGTACGCGCTCATAGCACAGGTGTCGTCCAATGTGGTGGAAGGAGTGGGGCTCCAGAACCAGGATGAGAAAGAAGCCACGGGGTCTGGCATGGGGAAGGACCCTCGGGTGAGGGTCAGTCTGAGTCCCTCACAGGTTCCCGCTCACTCCTTCTCTTCCTTTTCTCTCTGCCTTCAGCATGATCTACACACTAGTGAGCTCTTAACTCAGACCACGCACGTCCTCCAAGGCTGAGTTCATGGGTGCCAGGCCCAGATGGGGACGCGTGAGAGACAACTGTGGACTGTGGGCTCCTGCAGCAGCGGTGGGCCAAGCTTACAGAGCGCAGGGATCACTGCCTAGCCTGTGCTCGGGTCGCAATCCCTTCTGGGCCATGGGACCTCTCCTGGGCAAGGACTGCCGCCTCCTGAGTGCACACCCCTCTCCGACAGCTCCGTGCCATGCAACAGAGCCCCAAGACCACGGGAGGGGCAGCTGGCAGGCTGCATGGGGCCTGCCCAGAACAGAATGACCCAGGATCCAGGCCGAGTGTGTGGGACCCGCTGAGCCTTGAGGGTATCGTGGGCTGTCTGAGCCTCTTGTGTTTCTTCGGACCTCTGGTCATGCCCCGTGCTTCCGCGGGACAGCCTGGAGGGTGCACGGATTTGCCTCCGGCTCCGACCGTCCCTGAGCCCTCAGGCTGTCTGTTTCCATGCTCTGCCATGAGAGAGCCAGCTTGGCCATGCCGGGAATGCAGCTCGGGGCTGTATGTCAGTCATGAGTTATCTCTAAAGTCAAGGGGAGGTGGGAATCCGAGGGAAGAACGATTTTGTAAAGCATTCACAGGTTCCAAGTATTAGTTCTTGGCCCCCACAAATGGTACTCTTCAGCCGTCAGTCCAAAAGCATCACGGAACCCATGAAGGCCGAAGGATGGCTCCCCCGTGTCCAGCTGCCTTGTGTCAAGGACCACACGCCCAGAAAAGGTGGCAGTGTCTGCTTTGTGCCCGCATGGCCGGCGGCCGGGAAGTGACTCCACAGTCACATGCTGCTGCCTCATTCCTTCTGTCCACTCCACGTGGGGACATCCGCTGGTTGAGAATTTTCCATTCGACATTCCCCCCTCTTTGGGTGGGAGTTGTTCCCGAGCGTTGTAAATAATGACAAGGCTGAGATGTTTGATGTTTAAATTGGACACAATGATTTCCACCTTGTTCCCCGACCCTGCTTTCCTTTCTTCTGTTTGACACGTACAGGCTATTTATACCCGCACCCGGCTCCCGTCCGAGGCCTGTGACTCAGGTTTATGAATGGTGTTTGTGTGACGCGTCGTGCGTTATGTTTGAGATGTGGTGGCAGCTTGGGCGTCTCATCCGCCTACCTGGCTGGTCTTGTCTACACCCTGATACAGGCGCATTGGGCTCTGCGAGCTTGGTGCATTAGGAAAAAAGCTTCCAAAAGGTGTTTTGCTTCTAAAAATTGTACAGAGAACAAAACACAGATTTTTTTGCTCTGAGCCTGAAGCTATAAAACCAGGAGATTCCGGGTGGTGTTTTGGGGAGCAGAACCCCTTTGTCTAGGCTGGGTAGCTGGAGGGTTGGCCGGCCCCATCTCTGAACCCATTCCTGAGAAGACAGGCTGCTGGAGGGCATGACCCGCCACACTTCTCACCCCGGAGTGTCTTGTTTGTTTTCATAATTTGCTTCCTTCCAGAAAGATGCGATCGGGCTCGTAGCAGCAGACACAAGTACAAAGAGATCACTAAAATGGAAGTAGGGAATTCGGACCCATAAAGGGGGATGCACCGACTTCCCAAGGTTCTGATTCCTGAGACCGAACCTTGAATGTTGCCTTCTCTTTGCAGTAAAAGGTAGTCCACGTTTGCCTAGAACTTCACCTTCTATAGGTTCCTTTTGCTTCCTGTTTGACCTTCCTCACAGTCCTAGGAGGTCAATAGTTTCCTTTTTCCCATTGTCTAAGTGAGGAAGCAGAAGCTCAGAGAGGGTAAGCGACTTAACTGTAGTCACAGAATCCACAGACCTGCCTTTACACCCAGGTTGTCCGACTTCAAAGACCCCGTGTCCTTTCCATCCCCTGAAAGCCAGCGAGTGAAGTAGCTTAGGCTCCTGGGACGGTTCGATTAGCATAAAAATTTTCGAGATAGGGAGACTTAAAGATGTAGAGTTATAGACAAAGTGCCGGGTTTTCTTTTCCTCCTGCGTGAGCCTCAGCCTTGCTTTATCGTGGCGGGTTCTTCCCCAGGGGGATTCCTCTGAACGCTGTAAGAGGCGTGAGTGTACAGACACCCCAGGACTTCCCTCCCGCAAGCTGTGACCAGGACCCCTTGTGGCTGCTCTGTCAGGACCTTCAGCCATTTTCGGGTCCTGCGAGAGCTAATAATGACCACGGGGGGTGAGAGCCATGCTGGGTGCCCATCTCTGGGCCATGACGTTGCCAGACTCATGGTGACCCCACAAAGCAGGGGGTGTTTTTATCCCCGTGTTAGCGACAAGGAAGACAGGGAAGCTCTGGTGGGTGAGTCTGCCCCAGGGACCGAGCCAGACCAGGGCTCGGGGCTGCGCCTGAGCGGCGGATGGTGATCACAGCTCTGAATCGAGGTGTGGGACGTTATTCCAGGCGCTCCCCTCCTAGCAGCACCGTGGGGTCAACGTCCTCCCCATTTTATAGATGAGGACGTGGTGGGTCCTCAGAGATCTTCAGCGTGGAACGGGTGGGCAAAGCTGGACCAGCATCCAGGCCCACATGTGCCTCCCTCTCACATAACGTTGCGTGCTGGGATATCTTTTTCCATCATTGTTCATCCCACTAAAACGACCACAGGCAGGGTGGAGGGCGGAACAGGGGATAGTGCGCTGGGTAAATCCCCAAAGTGACTGACGGACAGCTCTGACCGCCCTGCACAGCTCTGGCCACCCTGGAGAGAGGCTTTCGGGGGCACAGGCAATAGGGAAGGGGCTGTGGGGACCTGATTCCTGTTTCCTCAGAGACACAGAGCCTAGGCCTGGCTGTGCCCAAAGGGGAAGAGTGGGACCTTGGGGGGTCACTTACTTCCATGTCGCTAAGTCAGGTAGATGGTTATACCTAGGTCACCCGACTTCAAAAACCCCATGTCCTTTTCATCCCTGACTCGTTAAGTTAAATGCGATCATATTTGCAGAGAACTGGGAAAAGTGCCCTGCATGTGGGAAGTCAGGTAAGAGGTCCCCCGCTGTGGGAGGGTCGCCCTCACTGTCCTCACTCTGCCCTGTGCACATCCAGGTTCAGGACCTCGGTGGGGAGGGGACATCACCTGGACCAGCTGCCTGCCTGACTCCTCATTCCGGCCACAGTACCTCAACCCCTCTTTCCAGCACCGTGCTCTCCAGCCCATGACAGATACCCTCCAAAGCTTGCCCTGTGCATTCCCATGCAGAGCACGCCGTGCGCACGGTCTCACTTAACTCCACAAGAGTATCTCGAAGTAGGAGCTGTCCCCGGGTCCGGTTCATAGTTCCAGAACAGAAGCTGGGGACATCTCATGAGTGACAGTTACCTGGGAGGCAGGGAGCCTGGACTCCAACCCATGTCTGTTTGTCTGCTGGGCTCTGGCCACTTTGCAGTCCTGAAGGGGTGTGGCTGGACAGGGATGGAGCAGGGAGAAAGGGACAGGCACTATCCCAGAAGTGTGGCCAACGCATTTCCTGTCTCCACAGCCAGTAGCTCAGGGTATGTGACCTGGCAGCATTCGGGAGGATCTGATCTACTGGGTCTCGTGCAAGCTTCCCGATCTTTCTGATACCGAGTTTTCCCCTCTAAGGTGGGGCAAGAATGCCTCCCTTGCTAGTGTGGTTGTGATCATCAGAGTAAGTTATGTGCATAAGGCTTGTGCAAAAGGCTCGGCACACCTTGGTCCTCAGTGCCTGGCTCCCCTCTTGCCCTCTAAGACTTGAAGGGAAACTTCCCAGAATAGAACCTCAGCTGCCTTCCTTCCATCCCCCAGTCCTGCAGCTGGCTGTCACTGGCACATGACCCGGGGGACAGAGCTCAGCCCTCTCAAGATCTCCCCTTTGCTTCCTATTTCTAGGCTTGGCCATTGCACCAATGTTGACTGAAGCTATCACTGTTGAAGAAGTTTTGTTCTCCTATGGGAGAGCTGAAGAGAGCCAGCAGGTGCTTTGGCCACTGCACAGACCCCTTTCTAAACCCTTCCCGTTACCGGGCTGGGGCTCCTCCTTTCCAAACTGTGTGCTGGTGACAGCGGTCCGGTCTCAGGGCAGACGCCTGGCCGTGAGGCTTAGAAGGAGGGCTGCGGTTACTGTGGTCACTGCGACATACCCTGGATTGGGTTTTGGCGGCCCCCACGCCCAGGAGCCAGGGGCAGGGTAGCAGGCCGCAGCGCAGGGCCTCCCAGGATTCATCCCACACCTCATCACGACCATTTCTGCTCCTGTTCACCCCGGCCCAGATGGCTCTGGGCACCCCAGGAGTGTCTTCCTGTGCTTGACCTCTCAGCTGCTGTGCGATGCCCACCCAGTCTTCCTTCCCAGCTGGCAGAACGCTGGGCTGTGGGAGCTGCTCGCTACATTTCTAAGAGCTCTTGCTCTGAATATGGCCCTTATGAAAACCGCTTGTGTAAGCTCACAGTGAAATAAATCCTATTCCAAACAAAGGTAACGTATAGTCAAAACTCACCACCTCCTGGTTATTTCATGACATTTTGCATTCTCTGTGGTTGTAAAGTTCTGTCTGCTGTGCATATGGCGGGGGGTCCCCGTGGGCTGAGGCTGGGAGCTGGAGGTTGGTCGCGGTGGGCATGTTTGCACCTGCAGGGGATCATGTGCCCTCCTCTCCCCTGCGTGCTACCCCAGGGCCCAGTGCTGAACGTCGACCAGTACCCGGGGTTCACGTCCACCGGCTGCAGTACAGCTATGCTCCAGGAGCCGGCGATTCCATGGCAGCTGGCAGCCAGCCCTGCTGAGGCTGTGTGCACCCAGAGCGCAGTGTCCAGGACCCTCAGGGCCAGACCCACCACCCTGGCAGTGACACCAGCAGCTCTCACTTATGTGCTTTGTCCCCGAGAGGTGATTGGACTTCTCAGCTGAAAGTCTGGAAGGTCTGGAATGCTTCTGAAGTGTGAACGTGCTTCTGAACTTGGACCCCGGTGCCCCCGAATTACCTTGGGGGCCACCCTCCTTCCTGGAGGGTGGGTCCCGTCCCAGGGGTCTTCCAGCTCCTGCAGTTGGACGCCTGCATCCCATGTGAATGCTGAGGTGATCTTGACTGTACTCCACATGTTATCTGTTCCACTTGGGGCTGAGGAGGGTCTAGGGCGTCTCCGGGGTGCCTGCCGTGTGCTTTGCACACAGAATAATCCTGGGAACCACAGTTCTTCTCTGCTCGGCTCTGCAGGCTCGTGAGTGTGGTGTCTGCTCCTGGCCAGCCATGGGGCGGTGTTTCCTCTGTGCCCGCCTCCTCCGGGCAGGCCCCTCTCCTGCTGGACCAGGTACCTCAGGGGCAAACACTCTCTTGGTGGAGAGATGCACCAGCACCTGGATGCTGTTTGGCTCCTGCAGTGACTGTCAGCCGGCAGAGAGACTTACAGATCACCGCA